CATAGTAGTCATCATGAAGATAAGGGATAAAGTGTATATCTCCACAGTTAATGACACCCCCGGGATTTGGGGGGTTAGCCTTCATAAAGTATTTATGATATGTTCATTAAGTATTGATTAAGCCGTTAGGAAGCGTTTAGACACCCAGACAATCCTTATGAAAGATTAGAACTTGGCTTGAGGATGAGGAACCCATAAGAATGAGAAATGCAGATAGAGAAGAAGGCTGCTGTGAGAGAGAGATGTAAATGAAGGAAAATAAAGATGAGTGTGGTGTGCAGACGTGCAGGAAGGGAAAGAATGAGGGGACACATAGATTAGGAAGAGAATGAGAAGTGTGAGGAGGGAAAAGTTCGCCTCTTTAAATATTAACTAAGCATTCAGATAGTGTTTTAGTCAGCAAGGCTACCATTAAGGGAGATTAGGTTTTAATCTTAGCGAGAGTAGGTTTGAATAGCAAGTAAGACGAAAAAGGAAATGAATATGAATGAATTCAAGTTTGGAGGAACACAGGGTAGAGGGAAGAGGTGGGCAGAGGGAGGCCAAAGTCAAGAGAGATTCAGACGTAGCAACAAGGAAACGTGGAAGAATATGAATGTTTCAAAGTAGAAATAAGAAGCAAACTCATACTGTAATGAACGGGAAGTGTTTTCCATAATCGCCGACTCCCTCTCTCTGAAAGCGCTCTGGCGCTTTCTTTCTAAGCTTCTCCGTTCACTTTGCTGTACCTGCTCATTCCTGGCAGTGCTGCGAGAGGGCTGAGGTTTCCAATTTGAAGGGTTTCTACTTGAGACGCAGAAAGGCTAAGAAATGGGATTTTCAAGTACTGTCTCGCCCCGCATGCATGCATGCTGGCGTGCAAACAAAGCTGGCATTTTCGGTCGGTGTTTAATCACTGCTTTGCCCTCGGTTTACCCTCTATCATCAGCAGGTGTTGCCGGGTGGCGGGGTAACTAGGAGGTAGCGGGATAAGAGGCGCACACCTTCTACAGTAATGCAGAATTGAGGTTTAATGGGGCTGAAAACACTAGCTGACTGGTTGGCTGGCAGGCCAAACACAGTAAAAGGAGAGGCACAGTTGGTGTGAAGCTGTTTCCAGAGCATGACAGATGTTGCAAAGAGAGAGACAGAGTGACAAAGAAACAGAGCCAGAAAGGGGACGACAGCGTTGGAGAGAGAGAGAGTGACTCATCTGCAACACCTGCCGAGCGAGAGATCACCGTCAGATAACTTTGTGCAAACAGCAACTTTAACCAAAGTCAAGAAGAGTTATTTTAGAAGTGGATGTGTCTTTCAGGTTTCTGTCACCTGTTTTCACACTAAAGGTGAAATAAACAGCAGTGAGTTTAAAGCCTATTTGAAGCTTAAATAAGGGTTTTATTCTCAGAGATTTCATGAAACATTTGCAGCTTTATGCTCTGTTTGACTTGCCTTGGGATGTCTGAACGTGGATCTGGGAATAAAATATCAAAAGCTAAGTTAAGCAGATTTTAGTTCCAAGTTGTAAAAAATGACTTGCATTCTGTAAGTCTGTAAAGTTTGACCTGTCAGTTTCAATTCAAGCCTAGTGTGTGATTGTTTCTTCTTTCTTTCTGAGCAGGTTGTGGTCATCCAACAACCAAATCAGAATTCCAACTTTAGGGGAAACTTTTTGTGTACTTTTTTGTTAAAATATGAAATGTTTTGAGATCCACTCATCCACACTAATCGAGAAAAGTAACAATTTAAAACAACTGTATTGCAGTTGATTCTCGCTTGCATTTCCATTTTTTTTTCTGTGATTTTCTTTGACAATTCTCGTCCTTGCAGTTTTGTTCCTGCGTAGTGCACCAAAACAGAGTTTCATCTATCATGCCAACCATGCTTTGATTCATAACCTGCAGGGGGATGTTTTGTACCCACGTTGACAAAACATGGAAAGTAATTTTCTGTAATCTACTTATTGTCTCGGAAATGTGAGTGTGTGACTCCGGGCGATGTCTACCAGCAGAAAGTCAATTTGAGTTATTTTGGTCTAATCATCACCCATCATATTTTAAAACACCAAAATTTCCCCCAAAATGGGTCAGAACCAAAATCAATGGGAGTGGTGTTGTACAGTTTTTCTTGGGAAACATGATTGGGTAAAATTGCACATAAGGGGGAAGAGAGTAAGGGGAAAAAAAAAAAAAAAAAAGCGAAATGCAGGTGTGAATTGGCAAAGGGGTGAAATGGAACAAAGTCAGTTCAGGGTGTATTTCCTTGTAACACTTGTGCTTACTCTATTTGACCATTTCACTACTTGTTCATCTTCTCAACCAGAAGATGTTCACTCATCAGTCACTCCATTAGTAAATATCTCCCTTATAAAAAACTAAAAATATCTTTTAACTCTTCTTATCACAATTCATGCTGCATATTCCCAGCTTGTTTCTTCTGTTATTTCCTATGCATTTGTCTTGTAGTGAACTGTGTTTCTCATTGCATTTTGCAACACCTTCCAGTACATCTATGGTAATGCCACACAGTTGTCGTAAGAAAGCATAATAAGGACTACATTTTATATTTGGTGCTATTTAATGTATTTGTTTATGCATGTTAGTTAAGGAATAAAATCTGCTGAGGTTGGTACCAATTTGTGCATAAAACCAGCAGTTTAGTCTGGTTATTTGTTTCTGTTGCTGACCTGGATTTATCCAATCAGATTTGTTCTGCTTGTTTTTGGTTTCTTTTCCTAAGTTCCCCTAGAGGAGCGCTGTCATAGAAGACATTTTAGGAGGTTTTTTTTTTTTTCCCCCCTCAAATTTCTTTTGCTATGAAGCTTTTTTTTTTTTAGAAAAAAAGTTTCTGTTCCTGTTCAAGAATGAGCAAATTGATCCCAAACACTGTGCCCCGGTGTCCTCCTGGTTGACATTTCACCTCGTGACTCTGTCCCAGAAACATTTTAATAAGGACCGAGTTGGAAAGCGTTGAAACCTGATTCACTTTAATCATGCAAGATGATCCAAGAATGATTTCAGTGACGTAACCCTTTCATGAAGATGATGATTCTGAGACCAGTGACAGATTCCACAGCTGTTACACTCGACTCCTTTGATGTTCCTTCTTTCATGTGTCCCCCTGCTTGTCTTAATGTGACACATAAGCATGTACGCAAACCCCAACAGCTAACATTCAAAGCCTGTTGCCCATATGTGAAGACAACCTCCCCAGTCATTAGGTTGGAAAGTGACAAATGAAAATCCTTGTCTGCCGCGCACCTTGCACGTAGATTTTCAGAATCCAAATGAAAAGGTGATTTCAGAATTTTCCACCTGGGCTGTTCTGCCTGCACTGACTCAATTCTTACACGGACGGCTTTGGTCGCAGTCTTCTCGGCTTTGAGCTCACTCCCTTCAAACATCTATCAATCCTCCATGGATGAAAGCAATATTTGGTTGCTAAGGGAGCCTAAAGGGTCTTTATTTTTTATGTCACAGAAGCAGAAGGTGTTCGCATAGCAGGACGCATATGTCACACCCACATAGCGTGTTTTCCTAATGACTTCAGTTAAATTTAATTATCTTACCTTGCGTCTCATATCCTGCATTTTTATAATAAGTGAAGGTAACTTAGCTACATGATTGTGCGGTAAAATAGCATTGTGTGCCTGAAAAATACGTAATAATGCCCCTTTAATCCTATATTCCTTTATGTCTGTTGTCATTTTCAATATGTTTGGGATTGCAAGGTATTATCGTATAACAAATGTTCTTATATACAGTTATAATTTTCACCAATAATAATAATAATAATCGGACACTCAGTTTCTTTAGACCTGTGTGTCTTTCTTGCTTTTAGGAAACTGTAAAGTGATTTATTGGAAGCGTGTCTTTGTAATTTATGGAACATGCATTTACTCTTTCCTTTCTCTGCAGCAGGTTGCATATCAAACCATCGTTGCCGTACAACCTTTCCATGCAACCCACCCCCCTTTAATCGAGAAACACCAAACGGAGACGTTTTGGCCTTTTGCAGACAGTCATTTGCATTGAGATCTGTCTGTTGTGATTTGAGTTCTTTGTACATTTATTTTGAGGTTTTTCTGTGTCTGGTTCTGTTTCCTGATAGTCTCTGTGTTGTCCTGTCTCCCCTGTTGATTGTGCCCAGCTGTTTCTAGTTCCTGTGATTACCTTCCCCGTGTATTTAGTCCCTCTTCTTGTCTGTGTTCCTTGTCGGATCCTCGTCGAGCGTCGTCGTCTAATTTTGTTCTGTTTCCGTGCGTTCTCTGCCAGTCTCCTTGTTCCTGTGTTCCTGAGTTTTCATTATTAAAATATTCACTTTCTTCATAGCATGGACTCCTGCGTTCGTTCTCACCACTTCCCAACACCGCCCCGTGACACTGTCAGACAGAAAAACCAAACAATATCAGTATACACATCTTAACCCACTGAGTGACACACCAGAGGGAGGCCCCTCACTTACCGCATGAAGATTTACTTCAACTTTGATAGCATTTCTTCATCCATAGGGGTTTTCCTTCTTGCTTCAGGGGTTTTGGAGTGTGGGGTTAGTGTAATGCATTTTCAAAACAGTTTCCACTCCTCTTAGGAGTATGCCTCTTGGGTTTAATTTGCTGCTATTTTTCTGTGAAATATTCAGTCATAAATATGGAAATAAACAATGCATCTGTCAGTGGATCAAACAGCAATCAAATAAGTTTTTATTTTAATTTTATTGCCTTATATTTTTGAAAGGAAGAAATACATAAAGTGCCACAACATTGTAACAATTCTTTGTTTCTCTGCAGTCAGTTAATAGTGTTTACACAATAAATGTAAAATTTATTTTCTAATGAAACTGTCAGGGTCCTTCCATTGTTCTGAAATATTATTTTTTGTATAGTAATTCACCTGCAGTTTTTTTTTTCTACATTTTCTTGAAGGTGACTGGGTCAAATTTGTCTATATTTTTTTGTATAATTCTTTGCAGTAAGATTGATGTTAAACACTCCGTCCTTGTCTTTCACTGTCTCTCCACAGCAACAGGAGCAGGACCCCACAAACCTCTACATTTCCAACCTGCCGGTGTCGATGGATGAGCAGGAGCTGGAAAACATGCTGAAGCCCTTTGGTCATGTTATTTCCACGCGGATACTGAGAGACGCCAACGGTCTGAGCAGAGGAGTCGGCTTTGCTAGGTGCATACACAGTGAAATGGAAAAACGCCTCACTCCGAGAGTCATATAAAATTGAAATTTCATTTGTTTTTCTAGCATGTCGGAAATGAACGTTATTCGTTTCATTTATTGGTGCAAAGTCAATTTGTTAGTGCAGTCGACTGGGCTCCCACACATCATGTAACTATGTCTTCACTGAGTGTAAACTGGTTGGGCTAATTACTTTTAACTTTTTAAATTTATTTGTTTTTATTTATTTTTTTTAGCTGATTTCATTGCAAAACACAATATTTTTTGTACAGTAACCAAGCCTTGGCATATTGGTTTTTTGTATGTAAATGTCTGTAAATGAGCAAAAACAGTATTCATAACTTTGGTCAGAGATTGAACCTGTACGCTAAGAAAGTGCAACTATTTGAGAAATGTGGTCATTAACTGCATATTGTGTGAAAACGACACAAGACCTGACAACCGCAGGGCCTCCGCAAACTAATGTCGTGCTAATTGTGTTTGGAGTTTTGAAAAGGTGGTTGCAGGTTGGACATGTGCTTCCTAGTAACTGGGGAAACAAATACCAAACGCTACAATAACCACTTTTGCTATAGAAGTTACAAGATAAGCAATTTGCAACCAAATGACTTGGAGCTCCAACAATAAAAAAAAAGGGAAATTCCACCTCTTTCTACCTCAAACCCTTTTGTCCCCTGTGTGTGTGCATGTGTGGTCCTCTCAGTTACACCGTAGAGTGTGCCAGTGATTAGAATGCAGTCAAGTATGTATTCTGGGTCACTGACTGTACAAAGAAAACCCAAGACCCTCACAGAGACATACATACCCACATCCTAAACTCCCCCCTCGCCACTCACAGTCCGTGCCCTCTGTCACCGTCTTTCTCCTCTGCTCAAACACACACACACACACGCGCACATTGACACACTGGCTTTTGCTTGCCAAGCAGGCAATTAGTCATTGAGCTGTGATTGGGTGAGCAGAGCTGAATAGGGGCAGACAAAGAGGACATGACACACAACAGATCAGACTGAAAGGAGCTTTTAAACTGGGACAAAGGGGAGGAAACCCCATAGAAAACAGACACACACACGCACGTACGCACACATTTTTCACAGGCAGAGAAAGACACCTAAGCACTAATCCTTTAACTGGCAAACGTTTACACACTTACTGAAATGTAGGACGCTTTTGCATGCGTTCATAGCCGCATACGACGCATTCACTTTTGATGAGCCATGAAATCTTTCGTGCTTCCTCTCACCTAAACAAAATCCAAAATCACCGTTCTTTCTCTCTGTTGCAGGATGGAGTCGACGGAGAAGTGCGACGTGGTGATCCAGAATTTCAACGGCAAATTTCTGAAAACCCCTCCAGGCATGACAGGTAGGTGCAAACTGAGAGAATAGAATACGCTTACACTTACAGACTACGTTGAATTATATTCGCCGTTGTGTTTACTCAACACATTTTGGTTCTTATTAGTGGTTACCCTTGCACTACTCTCCCCTCACTGTACAAGCAGGAATGTTTTCTTGTTTTCAAGGTTTGTTTAAATAAAAAAAAAAAAGTGTGACATCAAAATGCCAATTGCTACACTTGGACTTTCCTTCAAGCCCTCATTTATTGAATTTATAAAGACCTTTAGTTTTCCAGGCACCCAGTGTCTATGGAGGAAGCATGTTTTTATCAGTTTTCAGTTTTAGCAATTGTCTGAGCATAAAACTACACAAGTGTGACTGATCACACATCATTATCTCCGCTCTCTTTGCTTCCGACTCTTTAGGCCTCCTTGAGTTAATTTGGTATGAGGATTTGTGTGATTAGTCTTTGCTCTGCAAAAAAGGGAAAAGGAAAAAAAAAAAGATATTCTGAGACTAACCCTTGCTTAGGCACATGTGCACACCCAGACTGACATCGCTTAAAGCGAACAATCTGCTTGTGATTGTCCCCAAAGTAATTGAATAAAGAAGCTTGTTTTCTTTGAAGTGCACAAAACGAGCCAACAGCATGCAACAGATATGGAGAAAATGAGGGGACACGAAAAAGAAAGTGGCAGAATTTGAAAGAAGAAGTGAATATACAGAAAAATAAAACATGGAGCAAGAAATAAATTGAAAGAAGAGCAGTTTCCCGGCAGCATCATTTGTGTTTGGAGCTGATTATCATTGATTTAAAAAAAGCTCAGAGTTGGAGGTTCTGGTTCCACTTCATTTTAATAAAACACTTGTAAGGAAATCAAGAAAAGCTCACACAAGTATAAGCATATTGAATAAGCGGTTAAAGATATCATAATCTTATTCTTTTATGTATTGTGTCTGCAATGCATCTCTCCAGTCTTTCTGATGGGTTTACTTGCTCTCTTCTGTCGCTGTCTTTAGGCCATACACTGATCAAAGAGTTGAGAAACTTATGAGAGAAATACCTGATTGGAAATCCTAAAAAACACAATGTGTCCGTACAAATTCCAAGACTATCCACCGAGAGCAATTCGGTATAGAAAAAAAAAAGAATAAAGTGATATTAGGCAAGGCAAGTCTATTTGCATATCACATTTCAGCATCAATGCAAATCAGAATGCTCCATGTTGAACCTCTTTTATATTTTAATTGATGTGATTCAGATCTATTTGAAATATTTTCTAATGCAACATGCTATTAGATGAAATGGAAACTGCCAGTTCTTAAATGATCAATATCTCCAAAACAAATTATTAATTACCTCTTTTGCCTGCAGCAGCATTTTTATTTATTTATTTATTTATTTATTTTTTGTAATGCAAAATTAAATGTATATGTGATTACAACCCCCTTAATAAAACACAGATTACATATTATTAGATGCCCAGTTATTGGTTATTGCAAACACGTAAAACACATGTACATGATTGTGCTTCTTTAAGTTTTATTTCTTATTAAAATTTGCAGTAGGTTATACAAAAATATACTGTAAAGTTATCAACCCTCTTCTGTAGGAAGACCAGGATGATGTTGTTGGTCGAGACATAATGCTCCACCAAAGGATAAAAGCTGCCATTGGTCATATTTACAGAGCAAACATCTCTCAACAACCGAACCGTTACTGATTTGCTGCTTTCTGACTCCTCCAAGCAGCGTTTTTTATCAAACTTAAGAAATAGTTTTCTCTGCGCTTTACTTCTTTCTCAGACTAAACTTTATCAGGTCGTCTCAACCAGATCCATACAATGTTGATTTCTGTTTGTTTCGGATGTACAAAGTTTATTGAAGGAAAAACGCTGGAAAAATGATTGATTTCCAGAGGGGGGAAAATAAATGTGCTGGAAACAGCTTGAGCTCTCCCAACGTATCAATGCCTTTTACTGAGCCGAGCAAGATCCAGCACTCCAATCTGAAATGTAAATCAAGTAATCACAAGTTATGCGACTGGTTGCCTGCTGCATTTTCTTCTCTGTGTTTTCGCGGCTCGTGCCTCCATACAGCGAGTGTAGAAGTTAGTGCCAGTGGGAAACCTTTCCGATCCGTTCACCCGCTGCACAGTTGTGTCAAACGGCTTGATGTCAGAATGTGATGTTAAAACAAATCAGAGGGCACGTCGATTCAAGACATTTAAACACAAGGACGTCATCTTTAACAATCTATTCACTAACCTAGCATGAAAACATTTTTACTTCCTCAGATTTCCTGGACTTTAAGACACTGCCCTGATTTATTATATATGAATATAAAATCTCGATTCAAATCTGAGTCAGAAGACACTGATTTCCTGTTACTCATTTGAAGCAAGGAGTTTAAAAAAAAAAAATAATTTTCAGAACTTATTCAAGCTCTTTTTCCTCTCTTTTTTCCAACTTAATTATTTCATCCTTTCTTTTCTCTCGTATGTATCACATTTAAGATTCCTTGCCAGTTTTCACCACTGATATGTGTTTCCCCTCCCCCCCCTTCCCCCTGGGGGCACTGCTTTCTTTATACCATATTTCCCCCCAGTTGTTTCAGCTGTTTTGTTTGCCATCAGATTTGTTTTAATGGCTGCTGTTGCTGTGCTTTGCCCTGTTGGAAACGCATGTAAGCTCCAGAATTTGATCAACAACTAAACCGGGCTGCCTCGGACTTTTCTGGCATGTTGAAAGCAGACATTCTGTCTTCACACACGCTGGCACGCTGGATAGTTGGAAGACGAAGCATTTTTCGCCGTCTAATGAAATCCAACTTACTTTCTGATCATTTTGGCCAATTATTTGACCTTTTGAGTTCACAAACAGACTGTTTGTGGGCCACTAAACTAAACTCTTCACATTTTAAGTATGGAAGAGTAATTGTAGTATCACAACAAAAGTAACCTACCTCATCCCAACGAAATTAAACCTTGAGCAATTTTACGTTTCCTTCCATAAAACAAGTGCAATGTAAAAATGGGGAAACATGGCTGAAGGTTAGCTTCTACATAAATTAATGCTTCATATGTAGATGTCTTTTTAGATTTGTTCTTGGTGAGATGGAGGAAATATGACAGCTGCTTTAGTTCTCGCCCTTAATTTTTATTTTTATGAATTCATGATGAATGTGTCTTTTAGATTTTACCACATTTTATACACAGCCAGCCAGCCCTGTTAGAGGTGATGGGTTACTCCTTGGACAAATCCATGAATTTTTTAGTCTAGGTGTTTTAATTCCACAAACAATTTGTCAGCATCCGCTTGTCTTGATCCTTGACCAACTAACCATCTGGAGCACATATTGTTTTCTCAGAGAGCTTTGAAGGGCGTTGCTTCACCTCACTGATTTTTTTTTCTTCCCATTTAGTTGTTTTTGTAGATTAAATCACTTTTTTTTTTTCAAATGATTATTTTAGCATGTTGTTTGCTAGTGGTTATTTTTCATAGCACATTTCCTGCTCCAGATGTTGGGTCTCACACGTTGCTTACATGAAAGAAACAAAAGGTATTTCTGCCGGATTCCTGCTTATTTGTTGGATTTGATCTACCAAAGCTAATATCTGTATTGGTTAAAAAAAAATAATAATAATAATTCCATATAATAGGATTAAACACTTTACAAGTGCCACTGTCACAGCACAGATTATTGATTTAATTATATTTTGGGTTAATGACTTTTATGTGGATAATATTTCTAAGAAATGTTCTAGCACCTCCATGTAATTCATTGCTTATTTTCAAGGAATAGTGAGATAATGTTTCATTTTTGCAATAAAATGTAATCTAAAATTTTTAAAAAGGCAACATATCAAAGAAAATATGAAAGCTAAATAAATTTTTTTGAGTAACATATTGAAACTAACAAATCCTCATCATTTATTGTTCAACAGTGACAAATTATTGCACTGTACAGCTTAAAACATGTGCACTGCTTCATAGATCTGCTGATTTTTTTTTTTTAGTTTCAACCTTAAAATCATCATCACTACATATATTTTAATGCTTCTATAATTGCCAGTAGAAGACGTTGTGAATCCATTATAAATGCACTTTATACTCCAAACTGAGTGAAAGAGGAGTGTGTTTCAGTCTGAATTCCCTTCTCTCATATCCTTTAAACAAGATATACATAAAATGTGTTCTGCGTTGGAGTTGCCGCGGTTTCTTTATTTCCCTGCTAAAGTTTCCAGTATCCCGCAGCTGCACTAACAGTGTGTGATCTGCTCCTTACAGTACAAGCCACCCACCTTCTTACCAGTAAACAAGTCCTGCCATTTGAGCAGAAAAGGTCAAAGATTGAAGACTGTAACTCAGTAAACTTTCTTTTTTTTTGTCCACTGAATTCACCTATACACATTTAAGCATGTACAAATAAAACTTTCAAAGGAAGCAGTCAAAAGTTTTAAAAGTTGACTGTTTATCATGTTAAAAGTTGTTTCAGTTGTTTACTTTTTTCTGCTTTTAGACAATTTAGCGCACAAAGGGATGATCATTTGATCTATAAGTCATTATCCTCATGCAAGTCGTTAAAATATACATCTTCTTTAATGTAATGTTTTGAGTGTAGGTGAGGACTTCTTGTTTTTACTTTTGCTTAAAAATATAGTTCTGACTGGACCTCAGATTACAACACTGTTAGTCTGTAATGAGTCAGTCATTTTAGATGTAATCAAACAGAAACGAGGATTGGAATCACAATGTGTATCAAAACAAGCACAATGGCTGAAAAGAAGAAATTAATATCATGAGCTGGTGTTTCTCCATGGACATTCTTCAGTGGGTCTTACTGGAATGGCATAAATATATAGGATCATGACAACAGGACACGAGGAACAGCTTTAAACAAATTATCCATGTAAGCGTAGTTATTATTTATAACTTCCAACCAAATGCTGCAGGCTGCTGAAAAGCAACCGTGAAAGGAAGCAGAAAAACATACACATTACAAGTAACTATATCTGCATACAGGTGACCTTTGCTCTTGTTGATTTGTTTTTTATTGTTGTTCTCTTACTGCATATCAAGTTCTTAATTAGGGAATAACAAGTTGACTGTTGTAGGTTTCATCATGAGTCTCAGAGGGACTGTCATGATGGCTGTTAATGCCGATTAAGTGAATTTAGGTCCTTGGACCATTTATACCTCTTCAATTTCTGCCTTGCAGGCCCAGTTTTACAGTCTGTCTAATAAAATGATGTCAATACTCCTCCCCAAGCCAAGCTATGATTTATTTGGTGTATTTGGACAACCCAGAACTTGATTGTCCTTGAATCACTTCCAAAGGAGAAACAATATACTGGAACAGCATCGCAACCATTACATGAGTCTTAATCATTTACCTAAAAATGATGTCTTTCATGTAATACTGTAATGTGGAGCAATCAGAACTTGTTATATACTTTTTTTTTTTTTTTTAACTCCTAAGCTTTTTCCACTTTTCCCCATAATGGATCTTGAGTCTGACACTGGCCTGCTGAAATCTGAGGACCCTTGTATATACAAAGTTGTAAAATGTGTTTTGCATATTGTTTTAAATGTCCACAATCGACTTGATGTAGAATCCAGTTGAATAACTTGCCATTCCACATCGTTTTGTTTCAATGTAGTGAACTTTGGTGGATTTGCTGGGGTCAAATTTCACTTTTGGTATACGGCTCACATTATGTTGAAGCGCTCTTAAAGCTTGGGAGATTTTATATTGGAATCTGTAACAGTAAGAGTTTCAGTCCCTAAGGCATAAAAGCAAAGCAAACCAGAATATTTCCACTAAAGTTTGCCTGGAATAAAACGTCTTGCTAGACTGGTGCAGCACAGCGCTATATTTGAATCAACTATCCAGCTCACATTATTCCTGAAAGTTTTTTTTTCTTTGTTTTGTTTTGTTTTTGCTGGGAGTTATACGTAGTTTAGCTTTAATGCTGATCTTGGGAAGCCAAAGCTCACCGTACAGGTCAAAAATACAGAATGCACTCTCTGACCACGTTATACAAAACGTACAAGCTGACAGCTGCAAGGCATTCCTGGAATTAATTTTTTAGACTCATTGTGACTTCTGTTTGCCTCGGTGGACTTTTTCTGCAGTTTAGCTGTCAGATCAACGCAGACTGGCCGCTGGCATTGGTGTTCTTTGGTTAAGCACAGACAAATGTTTGTCAGACATTCACAACCTCACGTTTTATCTCAACATACTACACGTAGAACCTTCACAATTCAATGTTTTCCAATTCTGTTTGAGAGATGTGTCTGCTGTTTGTTTAGAAGCTAGACGTTCCTATTAGGACCCCGATCCAGGGTCTTTGGTGTGTGCTCTTTACACGTTCGCCCCAACCACACATTGGCTCTACTCCTGCTTTTTTCCACAGCCCAAAATATATTGAAGTTAGTTGGTCACTAAGAATTGACTTCTCATGTGTGCGTTTGGTCCGTTTTGTATGCATTTGTGTTAACTTGTGGCGACTTGTCCAGAGTGAGCCCCAAAACTTACCTTATTTATCTGCAAAAAAAAAAAAAATGTTGGATTCATTCATATTGGGGGTTTTTTATCAACTTTCCATCTGGATTTATTTTATCGTATGCAGAGTGTAAACATGTTTTTGCATTTAAATTAATGTCATTTTACAGCCTTGAAACCAAAAAACAAGTCGTTTTTCTTTGTTCTTTGCTGGGGAAAAATATTTTTAAACTTACTTATAAGTCAGTTAACTATAAAATATGCAATTTAATTGTATTCAAAAATGTTTATGCCAACACCGCTGCTAAGTAAAGTAAGAATTCCTGTTTACTTCAGAGGACTCATTTTCATGCAGGCACAACAAGAAAATAATAAACAGAGTTTCGGCTGTTTTTTTTGGGGGGGAGGGCTCTGCTTCAGAAAAGACAGATAAAAACATGCTCTGCCAGAATACTTGATGTGTTGTCAGCTGTTGTCGCCGTGTCTTACTCTGTTTGCTCGACCAGGGAAACAGAACAGCTTCTGAGCACAGATACAGCTTTCATGTCTGTGCTAAACTTCAGAGTTTTGTCATGGTACAACATTTCAAATGTGTGGTTGAAATTCGATTTTTTATTTATTTATTTTTTCATTATGAATCATGACATTCAGATTAGCCTTCTACTGTTGAAAAAATATTGTTTTCCATTTTGACTTGTGTTGACACATAAAAACAATTTGGTAAAGTTTGCTCTGTTTTTGTCATTTCGCTGAAAAATTACTGTGTCCTCTGCTATTGTTCAGATGAATGAAAGGATGCATGATAAAATCTATGAAAATGTTGTGTCACAACGGTGGAAATTCGCAAGGCTACTGCTTATTTCTGCACTAGATTCACAAAGCAAATTTCACCAAATACACACATGCAAACAAGCTACACGGTAGGTGCTAAAGTGATGAAAAGGGAAACAAATATTCTTCACACACGGGTTTTATGTTGAAACGGAGATGTTTAAAACATGCAGGACGCTCTACCTCCTGCATGAGGAGGTCTTTTAGTCATTTCATCCCAGTATGTTGGAGTTGGGACACTTCCGGAAGTTGCAGGATATCAGTGCTCAAGGATTAGAGACTAAACCTCCTCTTCCACAAGTTGGAGCTCAGTATTGAAGGCTCCCTATAATTCCAGCAACAAACGGAGACGAATAGACAGCTGACAGCGTTTCCCAGGATACCGGACAATATCTTCTAAATGTTGTAGCTTTCAACATGTGTTGGGCTTTTATGTCTCAGCCCACCTGAGGTGTTGAATTTGATTATGTTTCTTACATTATATTAAAGCGAACAGCTTTTGTGTAGTTATGTAACTACATAGGAGAATATGGGTCCGTCTGTTCACTCAGTATGACAGAATAACAGTCTTCGTACAGCTAAATTTGTGGCTTATCAAACCGCAACCAAATCTCTTTCACATTACATAAAACATCAAACTGTCTAAATAAATAGCCTATTATACTTTTAAATGTGTTTTTGACTCGTGCTGTTGCAGAAGAATTTGCTTGTAACAGAAACTGCTGTTCACCCTGACCCGTTTTCATAAGATATGCCCTTAAATTAGAATAATTTTGTATTTGCCAAGCCTGTTTGTTTTTTGTGTCGACACTGTCACCAGACTACTTCTCTTTATTTAGCATCTAGTACTCTAGAGTTCAGATAGAGGTCCAATGGAGGGGTCACACTCAGTTAATCCAGTTTGCAATCAAGTCTTTCTGTTTTCTCTGGTCCAGAAAGAGGCTGTGTTTTCTTTGAAGCAGCTGTAATCTGCACCCATTGCCCCGGGGTCAAAGTGTGGGGATAATTTGGGGCACTGAGCATGACTGTTTGGTTTGTTTTGAACCATGCTTTGATGATTAGCTTGTGGCTTTGATTCAGTGTCAAGGCTGTTTTCGAGAAAGCTAAGTTGTAGAAATTGTGGCGATAAGACTGTTGTTCAGATGATTTGATAAAGCTGTGGAGGAGATAATGGTTCTGCTGGAGGTTAAGTGTGGTTTCCAGGTCCATTTGATTAACGATATGTTTGCTTTTAAGTCGCAGCGTAAAACTCCCTTTATTCATCTCATCTTGGAAACATTCTGAGGTTTTTCTCACGACTAAGATGAGTAACTTATCATTTTTTTTTTTCCTTGTCGTTGTCTCCATCTCCATTTAATTGACTCTAGCTCCTGCGGAGCCCCTGTTGTGCAAGTTTGCTGATGGAGGCCAGAAGAAGAGGCAGAGCCAGGTTAAATATCCCCAGAATGGACGACCGTGGACAAGAGAAGGAGAGGTGAGCTGGAGCTTATTAAACAATCAAAACAGGCCTTGTATAAATTTGAAATATCGCGTTTCTAAACTTTCGCAAAGTCACATTTTTTTTCTCTTTGTCTAAACTTTCACCTCTACATTGTCATCTCTGTATAAAATGAAACCTTGTGCTGAGCACTGAAAGCAGATTGACTGCTGCACAAAGAGTGGGTTCAGATTTAGACTCTGGATGCCAAACCTCTAATTTAAAGAACAACGGAAAAGTGCAAAATAATGTCACCACCCACGCACAGAGTAAAATTTTCTCAGCGCTTGCGGTGCAAGGAGGTTGGGAAAGAGCAGTGTGGTGAAGTGGAACGAAACAGCACCAGGCGGCGACTTCATCGCGACGGGCAACCATGATGTTTGTGTTTGACCTTCAATCCTTCAGGATGTAACGGATCGAAACGCCTCCTTACATGCATGCAAACAAATTTCAACACAGTGTTGTATTTCTTCATTTTAAATGCCTTGGTGGTAGAATTTCACATTTTCTCTCATTTTTCCAACCTTTTGTGTCGATGTGAAATAAATGTGGAGCGTTCTCCACAGAATTCTTCACACAGTTTCCAGCCGTCCAGAGTTCTGACGAGGCTCGCCTGGCCCCAGAGCATCTTGTTAGAGGTTTATGCATTTTCTGGAATTGGGTTTAAGAGTCCATGCTGACTAATAGAGACATCTCACAGTGGAGATGCTTGAGGTGCTTCATTGCACGCTCGCGCTCAGCTCGCCTCCCTGAACCCCTGTTTTCTAAAAGAGCCTGGCCTTGAGACAAGGATGCACACACATTTTTACACACACAAGTAAACACCTGTGTTCAGAGAACCACACACAGGGTACATGTGAAGCTTGGAATCATTTCTTGACTGTGCTGCAGGTGAGGAGGAAGAAAACAGCAGTGCAGATAAATAGCTTCTTACCAAAGTCAGTTTTACAGCTCTGAATATTTTATTTTACTTTTTTTCATTAGAAAAGTTGCATTTTTAACATGATAATTCTACTTTTCACACATTTAATGAAATATTTGTTAGTGATGTGGTGTAAAGATCCTTCAGTGACAGATTTTTGATTTTGCGACTTAATAGGTTTTATATTTTGCACCTTTTTGCTGTTAATCCTCGGGGTGTTTCTTTCCTGGAAAAATTGTTCCAGGTAATAAAAGAACTCTTTAGCATATTTTAATTTTAAGATAACGGCCCAGTCTCCGTAGCATTGTGTTGAGCATTTAATGTTCAACACAATTAGAATTCAGTCATGATGACGAACCCTCACCCTGTTTATCATAATGATTAATGTAGGAATGGAAAAAGATAAAAGTTGTCGCATTTTTAATTGTTCACATAAAGGTGGCTGATTGAAATTGTTTCCAGTGTGATGCTGAAGGATTTTTACATTAAAGATGTGGGTAACACTTTATTTGAAGGGGGGTGAATAAGACTGTCATGACACTGTCATAAACATGACATAACACCTGTCATGAACATGAATAAGTCTTCATGAATATTTATGACTGTTGTCATAAAGCATTATTCGGTAAATTATGACACTTTTAATACAAAGTTGACATTATTCAAAATGTCTTTGTTATGACAACTTGACATTAACCAAGAAATCATTACTGTTTAAACTTTACCTTTAATAACATAAAGTTACCTAATTTTTAAAGTGCAATCAGTAATACTTTAATAACAAATTTATATCAGTAATGATTTCCTGGTTAATGTCAAGTTGTCATAAAGACATTTTGAATAATGTCAACTTTGTATTAAAAGTGTCATAATTTACCGAATGACACTTTATGATAACAGTCATAAATATTCATGAAGGCTTATTCATGTTCATGACATGTGTTATGTCATGTTTATGACAGTGTTATGACAGTCTTATTCAACCCCCTTCAAATAAAGTGTTACCAAGATGTGAAAAGAAAAGCAATTTTGACTGTATTTTCTGACATTTTTGCAAGTTTATTTTTGTCATTAACGCACACATTATCAGTAAATGTTAACTTCTACAGTGTCAGTGCTCATTCCCCTTGAACTTCACCACATTTTGTCACACTACAACCACAAACTTCAATTACATGTACTGAAATTTTTATGTGATAGAATAGAGCAATTACCATTGAATAAGTATTGCCAAATTAGTAAAGAGATTTTTTTTTTAAAAAAGAGATTAATCAAAGAAGCAGACAAGAGACCAGACAACATGCTTACCAAAGGCCAAACATATTGAAGAAGATGATCTAATCATATTGCACTGACATGTTAGTGGCAGCATTATGCTGAGAGAATTGTTTTTGTTAGCAGGGACAGAAAAACTGGTCAGAGTTAATGGGAAGATGGACTGAGATAAATTCAGGATGAATTTTAGAGGCTACAAACTACACTGAATGTACAGCCAGTCATAATCATGTATCCAAACTCAACATCCAGACCTTAATCTGTGAAAAGTATGACAAATTAATGCTTAGAGGCTGTCCATTTGGGTCTAACAGAGCTTCAGCATTTTTGCAAAGAAACATCTGCAATCATGTGAAAAGCTGAACTGAAAAAGGTTGCAGCCATTTTTGGAGCAAATGTTTCTGCAAATAACTGACTCATTGAGCGGAGAACACAAAAAATGTAGAATTTGCAAGACAGTGTGGTCCCCTTAGTTTTCTAAATATTGTTTCTTCTCTTCTCTGTTAAATCTGTTTGTCAAAAAGCTGCATAGAGGAGCTCTTTGTTATATAAAGTAGGCTTTTTGGAACGGGTATCTGTTCTTACACAAAGGTCAACCATCAGTTGTACATATATGCCCTAAGAGCAAACAATGTTTTTTTCTTTTTTCTTTTTTTTTTTTTTTACAAGAGTTTTTATCAACATAGTTTTGGATTTTCTTGGCTTCTCCTCTCCACCTAATGGAAAGTATACACTAGTATGTTTTCTTAAACCTGCATGTTTTTCTCTTTTCTTCTTTCAACAGAGTGGCATGGCATTAACATATGACCCCACAACAATGCAGAATGGGTAAGTTGTCTTTTTTTTTCTTTTCTTGCTAAACTACACTAAACATTTGTATTTTAATTCTGAGGGCAATTTTCTGCAAGATTTTGTTATTGAGAATAGCCATCGGTATCAGTCACTTTAGACGGCTTCGCAGACGAACAAAAGTGCCACAAACATTTAAACCTGATGAGCCAAAGCACCTGAAGGCATGGGCCCACATTGCGTTTACTAGCGCTGAAGCAGAATGCACAGGTTGGTGAGGCACACATTTGCTCCGTCAATCTGGCTCTTGCAGATGGAGCATTTATTTATGCACCTATGCATACCAGCTGTCAGACGTGTTGGTTCTGATTGCAGATGGGGTTGTTGGGCGGTGTTGCAGTCCTGCTGTAAGACTTTCGTCAGCTTGGCTATCTTCAGCACTCCGGGGTTGAATGCAGAGAGCAGAGTGTGTGTAGAGTTTCAGAGGGAAATTGGAGATTGGTCATGTCTGCTAGGAATGCTTCTGGTGATGCATTCCCAGGAGGAGATCCTTGCTCCCAGCTCTATGTTCCCTTTCTTCTCCTGTCAGCTCAGTCAGCCGTCCTTTTTTTTTTCATTCATACTTTTCCAACTATCACAGCTAGATCTGCATTTTGCTGTCCTTTGCATTTTCACCTCATCTTAAGTATCTGTCCCTTTTTTTTTCTTTTTTTCTTTTTTTTTTTGCTCACTCAGCCTTATGTTCTACGGTTGAAAGAATTATTTTTGACATTTTGGGCTTATCAACAACGTTTTTTGACTCATCACTGTCTTCTACCCCTTCTTGCTTTCAGTTTTCAAATAATTACTTTAGTTTTGGTCCATGCATGCATAAAACCATGCTCATACACAAGCATCTGTGGACTTCAGGCTGTTTAAGTCCTCGCTGACCTCTCTTCCGAGGTCATCCTAGCCTCTTCCGGCGAAGCGCTAAACGACTGTGAAATGCTAATGTAGCTAATTAGAGAGGCAAAAAGAAGGGAGGGAAGGGGTTTGAATAAAAATGGAGGGATGAACAGGGTCAGGAGGAAGGCAAAGGCAAAATTAAAGTCAGCCCAAAGAGAGAGAGGAAGGCTATGAATCAATTACAGTTTCCCCAGCCACTCTGAACTCAGGAGCAGTTGATTGTTGAGACAGAAAACCACATTTGTGTTACTGGAAATTGTGTCATTTTTGCCTCTAATTGGAGGTTTTGGTTTCATTTCCCACTGGGTGAAAATCCCGGGGATTAACTGAGGACCCACTGGCTTGGGAACACCTTGGAATCCCCCAGAATGAGCTGGGGGGGGGATGTTGTTCAGGAGAGAAATCCCAGAGTTTGCCTGCAGGTCTTGTGAGCCCCCTGGAGCTCTGCAAAGTGGAAAACAATGAATTAATGGATGAATGGACTGACTTCCACATCATCTAAACCCCAAATCTCTCCAGGACTTTGCAAACTCTCACCATTTTATTTGCTTAAAAGTTACTGACATCATAAGTAAATATGTCGCTTGTCATGGAAAACTCCTGACTTGGCATCTAGATTGCACCAGAGATTACATACACTGCTGCATTGGTGTTCCGCTCACCATTACATGTTAAGTGCGTTGTCTTAAATAGCTGTGCTGGAGTCGCCATTGACAGTTTGCTGCTCAGAGCTAATAGCGTCTATCAATAACCTTGGATTTGTCCTCTGCTCACAGCTTCCTACTCTCAGTACCCATCAGTCTAATGAAAAATACAATAAATACAATCACAGAGCAATATTGAATAACCCTGCTGCTGTCCCTATTTGTATTCATCAATGACAGTAATACAGTATCTGTAATGCATGTCATATATTAATTGTAGTCTAAAAGATGGATCCATGCCAGTACTTTTTTTTTTTTCAGTAAAGGACCTTGTTTTTGCATCATCAATACTTCTTCAAACATGTTTCAGTTTCAATTCCAGTTCGGTTCAATCTACGTTTAGTCAGACATTTTCAATATAGACTCAAAATCTTTAGGCCTGGAAACGTTTGGCAACCGACATAATTGCTGCGATAATTGATGTACTTTACGTTCTCAAGTTTACTCAAAAACTTTTCAAGTAGATATAAAACTGAAGATTGGCTTTAGGAGACCTCCAACTTTAAAAAAAAAAAAAAAACGGTTTCAGCAGATCTACCTCCTTCATGTGAAGAACCATTTCAATGGCTGACATACAACTGGGAAAGTTAATCCAAGTCAAATTTAGTTTTGCAGTGGGAATCATTTGCAGACTGTGGCTTTCACACAGAACACTGGTTTTAATTTAATATGACTAATTGCCAGACTTTCAGTGCAGCTGTTTTCTTTTGTTGTTTATCAGTACTTTGGAGTTCTGCAAGTGAAATGCACCTCAGCCATGTTGAGATCAGTTGACTGACTCCTATCTTGGTCTTCTATTGGAAAATCAATAAACGTTATTGACACAGTGCTGCTGGAAGCAATCCATGCCTGTGCCCTTAGACTACTTTCATGTGGTTTACACATGATGTCTTATCCTCTGAATCTTTGCCCAACGATGCGAGCGTAGTGATTTTTCCTAGTTTACTGGCAGGAGTCGACTAGCATTGCCAGAATCCTGTTTCCAGATTACTTTTCTTGTGTTTCGTACATTAAAAGTGATCAGTGTGATCCTTGTGGTGAGCTTTCTCTCTAATAACAATTAATTCCTTTCTTTACTAATTTTGCACTTTTCCGACAGTTGGGGTTTTGAATTCCTAAGCTATAGCAATGCAGTCAAACGAGATGGCCTGCATGTACTTTGAAAATGGTTGTTTAAGTCGTGAAACACTTGAGACTCCTCTTGGAGTGAGGGTTAAGACTTGAGATTTGGACATTCTCCTCAAAGGCTTGAAATGTGATGTGGACTTGATTTGACCTTTGAATAAAAGAAAAAGAAATCGGCAGAAGTCAGTAAAAACTGATCAGAGCCAGGAGGAAGGTCTTAACAACGACAAATAAAGCTCGTGTATGTGCTGCTCACATCCTGCCTCTTGATCTCAGCTCCACTACAGCTGGTTCACCACAACGAAGCCAGCTGTGAACACTCTGGCTACTACGTTTGTCCACTGATGACGGCGGTTAATTAGTTTTTTTTCCTGTAATGGTAAGTTGTTTCTCTGCTATTAGCACGGCTACAGCGCATACATGAGCATGATTGACCATGTTAAGACCCCCCTCCTGGCTCTGATTGGTTGTTTCTGACTGGGAGCGCTGCATTTCTGCTGATGGTAGTAGGACCACAGAGAGGAGCCGGAGGAGCTCGATTTTTTTTTTACTTTATTTTTTTTACACATTACCTGTGTAATGTTATACAGTTTTAAGAAATGTGGGAAAAAAAACACACAAGTGTTATTTAACTGTCAAAACATACCCAAGGCAACCGTGGAAGTGATGACAATAATAAAAAAAAGAAAGAAAATTTGTTTTTAATTGAGTCCCTTCTGTAAATAAGAAAGATCACATTTTTATCAAGCAGACCATTTCTATGAAATCACAAGTGACTGTGTCAGAGACGGGTAGAGGAGAGTTTCTCCTTTTGTCTCTGGATCTCTTTTGCCTTCCCTCCCATACACCATTATTCAGCCAACAGACACTTTAGGATCGATCGGGCACAGTAACATGGCCTGGCGGATGAAACATGTCCTCTCTAGGTACACAATGATAAATAAAGCACTGTGAGCCACAGCATTGTACTGCTGCAGGGTTATGGGGGTGAAATAAAAAAAAAAAAAATAGGCAAAAAGAAATGGAACAGATTCAGAAGGGCAGATAGAGGTATAGGTCGAAGAGTAAACAGAGCATAAAAAGCTGATGCTACATATACAGCTCATCTACCATTTGTGTAGGTGGAGGCATAAAGGGCAATATTGAAACTTCTCACCCACTCACACATTAAGGGGGTAATTCATTATCATGCATGGCAATAGAACAGACTCCTTTGTAGAATGATGCGCACTCAAATGCAGTGTCAAGTTTCATTCTTGGATGACTTTGATGGTTTGACTCAGAATGAAGCTGCAATATTTATTGTTTCCAGGACATCTTTGATGATGTCTGATTCGTTTTGTCAGCGCTGAGCTAACATCCGCCTGGCAGTTCAAAACAAAGAGGCGCTCATTTTCACCTTTGCACAAAGCGACACACGGTTTGTAAATCAAGAGCTAGTTATGCAGAGAAGCCTTTTAACTGATTATTCTTTTCTTTTTTTTGCATGCATGCATACATTGTTTGGAATACTTCTGATTTAGGTTTGCTCCACTTTGAGCCTGTTTGATGCTGTACTGTAGATGATGAAAATGACTGTTTGTCTTGTATGCTTCATAGATTCTACTCTTCACCCTATAGCATCTCCACCAATCGGATGATTGCACAGACATCAATCACACCCTTCATTGCTGCCTCCCCTGTCTCCACATATCAGGTGGGTTGACCGTCCCGTAGTTGAATGTCCATGGTGTATTTGCCTGGGACTTTGTATGTGTGCAAGGTATTTGTTCGCAAAACATTTTCCAAATCATGCATCTTTTCTTACATTTCATTATTATGTGATACGTTGTGTTTGTCTATTACAGAAACATCCCAATTAACAATGTATAAATATGTGTGAGAAAATGTGACAAAGCTCACGTGGCATAGATACTTTTCCAAACCACTATCTTTTCAAATAAAAATGAAAAGCTAATATTTTGGAGGTGTTCTACTAACACCTGGCTTATTGTGTGATTTTGATGTTGACAATGTGAATGGCTTAATATACATCATGTATGGGTGTTTCTGCCAAAATATATATATAATGGATTTGAAATAATATCTTGGAATAAGACAAGCAAATCTGCAGAATGTAGGGGTTAACTTTGCCTACTCCTATCCAAAATCCATATGAGAACATGTTGCAAGCTAAAAATAACCATCCATGTGTTTGGTGTTAATGCACGCATGCACACGCAAACATAACACCCCACATTATCTGAGGTATAGTCCCTATGCTTATGGGGAATAAGGCCTTTTGAGGCATCCAGTGACATTTTCCTTCTTATCCTGTCCGCGTAGCTCTGATCCTAAAGTTCTGTTCCACTTCCCCGTCCCAGTGTGCCCAGCCTGCTCCCCCCATATCAAAACAAGTTATATCAAAGCTGCCTGATAATCTAAGATGCGGTTCTTTAAAAACCTGAGCAGGCTCTTGATCGACAGCTTGTCAAACACAGATTTCGACACAATCACCTCGCCTCCCACACGGCTTTAGGAAAACAAATGTAAAACACAAATGCAAAGGCACACGTTCAGCAGAGCAGAATTCAAAGTCACATCCTGCTTCCTGCAGAAGACGCAGGAGGAGACCTGGCGACGTTACGCAGCCTTATCTCCCCGCAGACACACACTTACACATACCGTAGATAAACCAACATGCGCATTTGCACTATATTGCAAACTGTGAACCGTACAGTATCTTACATGTGGCAAAGTAGCCTTCAGGGACTGCAGAAAACAGAACAAGATGAAAGTAGTGATATGTGACCAAAAGAGCTTTGATGATGTAACCCTCACTGTGAAGCAGTAACTGGTGGATAGTTTTGCTCTCCGTAGTCTTTGTAACTTGTCATAATTACAGCTTAACTTAAAGTACAGCAAAGCCTCAGCTTCCGCTGTCATGTTCTGCCACAGGGACTGATGATTAAATCTTCTTTTCTTCTTTTGTTGTCTCATTTTGACTCTCTTCCTTTTCATTTTGAATGCCGCTTGTTTTTTTTGGGTTTTTTTTCTGCTTTTCTGTCATGGATACAAAACATTTTTACCAAACTCTTCTCTTTTGTCTTGTCTCGTGGTCGGCTTTTTGCTTTATCTTGCCGCTCATTTCCAACTCCCTCCTAATTAATCGCTCTAATTTTTTTTTTCCATGTCCTCTCTTGTCCTACTCCCCATCTCTTCTCTTTTTCTGTCCTTTATCTGATATAACTGGCGTCTCCTCCGGCTTTCTCTTCTCTCGGCTTTTCCCTTTCCTTGTCTCTACGTAGGTCCAGAGTACATCATGGATGCCACATCAACAGTATGTTATGCAACCTACAGTAAGTCTTCAAAGCCTACTTTTTCTTTTGATTTTTCATCATGTGTTATCATGTCTCGGTTGAGTCGTTTTCTGCATTCGTTAGTCCCTCGCTCTGACTCGTTTTATGTCTGTCCTTCACTCCGTAAGCATGTCTCATTATCGGGCCTTGATATTAATGTCAGGATTTAAAATATAGCCACATTTCTTTTTTAAAGTTAATTCTAATAGCACTTTTACATACTCTTAGAAAAATAGCTTTTACTTATTAGACCATCTTCAAAAATTAAAATAAAACTAATTACAGTAAATTATTGGGGAGGAATAAACCAAGGGATGCTAGAAAGATTTCAGTAACTTTATCACATGTCAGCTAACTCCTATTGAGGCAGAAAGGTGAATCTTAAACTAGAATATTAAAAGTTTATTTCTGTGATTCAATTCAAATATGTTGATAAATGTCAACATTTCAAGTGACTTTATCTTCATTTAACTCTCCCACATTCTTAGCGTGATACTCAGGAGTGCGGAAGATGTCACAGTCGGACAATGGGAACGTGTCAATTCCTGAAATCATAGAAGATAAACCTCATAATAGCGCATGCGGGGTCAGTGTGACCCCTCTGGGACCGCACATGGGGTACAAACCTCACGCGGGGTCCACTGGAACCCCTCTTAGGATTACGAGAAGGTTAAAAAAAAAACAATTCTTAATAGAGATATTTTTTCCATGGTTTCCACAGTTATGGGGAAGAGTGCAGATTTGACCGTTGTCCAGCAAACAAGTGACAAATGGTCATTGCTATGAAAGCCAACTGTTCACACACATATGTAAACTTGAATAAGAGGAGAAATGAGTGGTGGAATAAAGGATGCAGCTGGGATAACCTAAGATGATGCTTGCAAGATGCAAAGCCCATTCATGACTTTGAGGGCGCGCTACAAGGTGTGCACCGCGTCTGGAGCCAGCACTTCAAGAGCCACCACAGATGTGAGCTGCAACACAGCTGTCCCTGTTTTAATCCATCTTTGAACTAGAGAGAACAACGTGAAGAAGGTCTGAACTGTTCCTGTAGTGGCAGCACATTAATGTGCCAGAGTCTGGATACAGAAAGGAGAGGCAAACTGAGCCACAACTTGGGCACGGCAGTCTACCGGGAACATTTTGACCCGTTTCATGTTTTACTCTGCTGAGAAACTTCATGGAGATGCACAGTTTATTTTCTAGCATCACCTGGCACCTGTCCCGCCAAACGTAGCAACAACATCACTGGGGCCGATTCACCAGCAGACTGGTCTGATGTAAACCTTATAAAGAATCTATTGGGGGTATTGTCAAGAAGAAGATGAGCAACATCAGATCCAACAACACAGGAGAGCCACTGTTAAAGCAACTTGGGTTTCCTGACCTCTTCAGCAGTTGCTGCAGGCTGTCTGGTCACATTAAAGCAGTAATTCATGCAAAAGGAACTGGGACCAATAATAAGTGTTTATACTGCACAGTGCATGGACATACTTCCTAGCAGATGATGTTTCTCTTTTAATTCTGTTTAATTGGTTGTATGTAATTTTCGGAGAAGCTGAATTTGTTTTCGTTTTGTTTGCCGATACTGAAGTACATCAGCGTGTATTGAATATGCATGAGAAGTATGTCTCACACATTCCATTTAATTTCTACAATAATATTACTTATTGATGGTGTTTAGATCTATTGACACACACCTTTACATTTCGCTCTTGTTCTGCTGATTCAGTGTCTGAGCCGCCTCCTTCGACCGGCAGCTTGGAAAGCTCAGTAGAGCTATCTGTAAAATCAACGATAAAACATTGCTCCCTGCTGGATTGAAATAGAACTGCAAATACAGAACCGCACAAATGCTGGACATCTTGTATCTATGCACATTTTTGAATAAAAAAAAATAGGACGGATAATATTTTGCCAGACAAACAAAACAAAGCAAAGCAAAGCTGTTGGAAAAACACACCCACACATGCTATAGATTCTCACCATCACTCATATATTGACTCTGAGAGTGGGTGTACAGTCAATAAACTCTGTGGAAGAACTACCAGTTCCTCTTTCATTCTGATACTAATCATTTACACAATCTTGATATATATATATATATATATATATATATATATATATATATTTTTTTTTTTTTTTTTTTTTTTTTTTGTTTATTCGGGATTTTTAATTAAAATATTCTATTTTGTTCCAAATTGTTTTTAATTTAT